ACACACACAGAGAGAGAGAGAGAGAGAGAGAGAGAGAGAGAGAGAGAGAGAGAGAGAGAGAGAGAGAGAGAGAGGGAGGTGGGTGAAAGCAAATGATAGGTGAATGTAAATAGACGCTTGCTACCTACCTCATGCGAGAACTCGTTCGAGGTTTCCTACTCATACTGGGCAGCTAAGAAAAAGAATGGAGTGTATCAGTGTATCCATTTGGCATTTGGCAATCCTGACAATACAGATCCCTTTTCACTGTTTTCAGGCTACTACCGTCTGACCGAACCATTTCAGGCACACTGTCATATCTCTCAGTCATGCTGTCAATGTCGGTTTGTATGTGTACCCGCCTGTGACTCGATGGCGAAACTAGAAAGTTTCACTAAGTTTCAATCCTGACGTAGACCTTGATCTTCTCTGCAAGAGAAAATCAGTTTGCACAAGACCCCCAAACCCATAACCCAAAACCCAAAACCCAAAAAGCTCAGCACCTTGACCCTGAGAATCCGAACCCAGAGTTAAACCCGAACCGAGGACCCCAGAACCTTAAAACCCTTAAACCCAGACCTGAGAAACCAAAACCAAGGGCCCAAACCGAAAGCGTGGTACCTTGACCCTGAATTTGGAGGCCCATTATCCGAACCCAGGACCCTAAAACCCCTTAAACCTTGGACGCAAACCTGAGAAACCACACCCGAGGGCCCAAAACCGAAAGCTTGGTACCTTGAGGCCCATAATCCGTACCCAGAGTTAAACCCGAACCCATGGGCCCAGAACCTTAAATCCTGAACCCAGACCTGAAAAAAACACAACCCAGGCCCCAGGGCCTCGAACCCTGAACCCTGTACTGGAGCCCGGATTCCAGAAACCCTAAATCAGAAACTACTGTCTTCGTTTGAATAGAACGTACGGTCATTATAGCTGTATATTTGGGGCAACCTTCAGTCTAGATACAGCATCAATATAGCCGTACTTGGGGTAACTTCCAGTCTAGATACGGCGATAATGACCTTACGTTCTATTCAGGGGAAGACGGTAGAACGCAGAAAGACCAGAACCCAGAACCTAGGACCAAAGATCCAGAACCCTGAACGCTAGCTTGACCACCCTAACCCTGAGTCCGGAGCCGAACCCGAACTCAAGAGCCCAGAATCCTTCTTTTTTTTTTTTTTTTTAATTATTATTATTTTTTGCCCAGAATCCTAAAACCTGGACCACAGATCAGAAGCCAGAGCTGGGGCACCATCATGCAGATCCTTTTTTCTGTTTTCTCCCTTTTTTTTTTTCTTTTTTTTTCGGATTTTTCCTTCTTCTTCTTCTTTTTTTTTATATATATTTATTTAGATTTGGACCTTTCTAGATTTAAGTGTGTCATCCTTGAGGAGGGCCCACGCTTATCTCTTGTATGTATCGTCCCAATTTTAACGGATGTCGTGAAGGACACCGGCACGCAGATCCTACACCCCTACACCCCTACAACCCTAGATAGAACCCTGAACCCAGAACCCAGAACCCTGAACGCTGAGCTGCGGACCCCAAATTCGAACCCAGAGTTAAACCACCACTACCTTTTCCCATGTGGGCTGCCGTCGGGCCCCCGCATCTTTAGGAGGCCGAAATGAAACGACGGCCGCCGGTGGCCGGCGGCGAGATTTATCAACGGCGGTTGTCGTCGGCCCCGGCCTCCGTGTTTTTAGGAGTAGGATATTTTATTATTTTATTAGTTTCCCTTTTTCCCCAACAGCGGGAAATTTAGTGGTGGTTTAAGAAACCAGAACCCCGAAGCTGGAACGATAAACCCTGAACTGTTCCTTGCCCAGCAAATCAAGAACTGAGCACAACCGTCCTTCGGGACATCCGTTAAAAAATTGGAACGATACAGATAAAGAGAACATTAGCAAATGGCCCCTGTGCAAGGATGACACGCATAAATGGAAAAAAAAATGGTCCGGAAAAAAAGAAAAAAAAAGAAACAAGCAAAACCAGGACCTTGAGCCCTCAACCTTGAGTCTAGAACCCAGAAACCAAAGGCTGAGAGCGCAGAATGTGACGCCGAGCCATTAATGCACCTTGAAACTTGGATGTTGGAACGCGGGCGGGGTTTTCAGAGAGACCTTCACTTCACTTGGTTCAGCCAACACGGAAGGAGTCGTTTATCTGCCGGAGGCTCTCTTCTTCACGTTTCCACTGGCGGCCTGTGAAATCCAGCAGTTGAGATCGAAATCAATGAGACGTGCATTGCAGTTGGCATGAACAAAGTGGAGGCAATAAAAAGTTGAACATGGTTTGACTTTTGAGTTACAAAAGAAGAATAATAATAAAATTATTTTATGAAATATAAAAACATTATAAAAATAGAAACAACAACGAAAAAAATAAGAAATCGAATTTAACAAATTAGTAATTAGTAATTACTAAATTAGCTAGGCTACCGGCCGAGCCACCCGGGTCACCTTCTTTTTCCTGGGCGGCCCGGCCGTGCAACAACCAGGGAAGGTCCCAGCAGAAAGAAAAAAGGAAAAAAAAATCCAAAAAATCCAATAAACGAACTATGTTATGCAGAAAAACAAACTGAGCTAACTTTTTTTTTTTTTTTTTTTTTTTTTTTTTTTTAAGAAAGCCAATCTTTATTAAAATCCAAGCCGGGAAGCGGGCCCGGTGTCCCTTACAAAAATTCGCTGCAGCCCTGAGCCGAGCGAGGCTCTCTGGCCAGGCAGGGGTGGGGATCACCTTCTTTTTCCTGGGCGGCCCGGCCGTGCAACGACCAGGGAAGGTCCCAGCAAAAATGAAAAAAGAAAAAAAAAAATCCAATAAATCCAATAAACGAACTATATCCAGCGGCCTAGCTCAGTTGGTAAGGCACACAAGCGGCATTCAGGAGGTCTTGGGTTCAATCCCCATTGGCCTCATGTACCTTCCTGGGCAAGCTTGGCGCCCGCCACCTAGAGATATGCCGTTGGTCCCCCCGAGTGGCATTGAGCAGAGACTGCTGATGTTCATAGGGGGAGGGGACCGGAGGGGAGGCACAGTGACTGGCCCATCGAAGAAGCTCGGTCCTGATGTTACCGGCTGACCCCTGGCCGGTATCGCCCACCTGCTGTAGCAGGTATCGCACCTGCTGGTGGGTGCAGCTCCCGCATGTTCCCTCGTTGGAGGCTTGAGCACGGATGTGGCTGCTACGGGGTTCCCCATAATACTATAATGAACAATAAAAAAGACCTGAAAGGCCGTCCTGTCCAGATTTGACAGGTAATTGAATTCGTTGGGCTTAAAGAATTAGCCTTTTAACAACAACAAAAAATAAACGAACTATGTTATGCAGAAAAACAAACTGAACTAACTTTTTTTTTTTTTTTTTTTTTTTTTTTAAGAAGACCAATCTTTATTAAAATCCAAGCTGGGAAGCGGGCCCGGTTTCCCTTACAAAAATTCGCCGCAGCCCTGAGCCGAGCGAGGCTCTCCGGCCAGGCAGAGCTCATGCCACGACCGTGTCAAGGGTGAAAGTCCTTCTCTTGGTGTCTTCTACTGTATTCTAACTTTGGTACCAATCCCTATAACTGCCTGAACTATCCTAATATGAGAATCATGAACAATCCTAAGAATCCAATCAACGAAAACACGAAACCCAACTCACCGAATGCCCTTTCCAGTCGAAAACGAAAACACAAATCCAAAGAGTAATAGGTCCTATAATCTCCTCGTCAATCTAAAAAATCGAACAAATCTCACAATAGCTAACTAACACCCTAATTACTATCGTAGTTTGCCTCAGGGTCACATTGCAATTCTTTACGTATTTTAAATTAAAATAGATTATAAAAACAATTTTTTTTTTTTTAATCTTTTTTTTTTTTTTTTTTTTTGGCCCGGCCGGGCGACTGGCCCCGGGCCACTCTGGTAGCCTAGTAAATTTTCCCAAATATCGTACTAGTAAATTAGTACTAATAATGGCAATAGCAATAATGACGGCAGGAGAATATGGTAGCAAAAAGGGCCAGCTGACTATCACAGCCCCTCTTTTGTTGTCCTCTTCTCCCTCTCTGCCAACGGTTTATCGGGCAGCTCTGTTCTGTTTGACGATAAATGCCAAGCACAGTTTAGGTTGGGGACTGTATCTGTATGAACATCACAACATAGGCCGAATATTTTGCTAACCCTATGGAAGGGTTCATACATTTTGCTAACCCTATGGAAGAGGGGAGGGGAGGAGAGGAGGGGGGGGGGGGGGGGGGGGGGGGGGGTAATTATATTAAAGCTGCTCCATTCTATTTGTGGGGAGCTGCACCTGCTGGAAAACGGGTACAAACCCAATACTGTTTGGGTTTACTCATGTTGAACCTTGGGCAGTGGGCCTGAACAAACATGAGTGAGCCCAAACAAGTTTAACAAACCCAATTTGTGTTTCTTTTTTTTGCTGGCCCAGTGCTCAGGTTGGGTTTGTTTGGGAGAACGCAAAGAAAGATAAGCGATTGATTACACATGTTGTGCCTTGGGGACTGGGACCGAAAAAAGATAAAAAATGTCGTAAAAAAAAAAGATTTTTTTCGCCTTGGAGTAACAACATGCTGATGATGAGGGGAAAAAAAGTTTTTTTTTTTTGAAAAAATATATAAATAATAAAAACTATAAGGTATTATTAGTCATTTATTACTAATAATCATGGAAAATGATTTGCCGTATTTTGCCAATTGCCCCCCTGCCCCCCCGCTCGCCCCGAAAACAATAAAACAACACAGGAAAAAACAAAAAGACACTCAGAGCTCACAATTGGCAATTACCACATGCAAAATTGTGCATTCCCGCTCCCCCCTCTTTTGGGGGGTTGGGCGGGGCGGTGTGGGCCGGTGCGGGGCGCATATATTTCACAGTGACAGAAAGGAGCACCGCACGCTCGCCTTGCTTTGATGCAATTCCCCCCTTAGCCTCCCACCTCTTTGCATCTTCCTGCACCTCTCTCTCTCTCTCTCTCTCTCTCTCTCTCTCTCTCTCTCTCTCTCTCTCTCTCTCTCTCTCTCT